ACAAATTTGGCATCCAGAATGCAACTATACACTTTTGCTACAAATTGAATCAGAAAATATTTTGTGAGGATGGTAATGGGAAATAAGTGGAGCTGCACATCTGCTAATGTGGTATACTGTATCCGCTGTTCCCATTGTGGCCTCCATCGGGGAAACCAAGCGGAGGCTTGGGGACCACTTTGTGGAACACCTACGCTTGGTTCGCAACAAACAACTGCACCTCCCAGTCGCGAACCATTTCAACTGCCCCTCCCACTCCTTGGACGACATATCCATCCTGGGCTTCCTGCAGTGCCACAACGATGCCACCCGAAGGTTGTAGGAACAGCACCTCATATTTCGCTTGGGAACCCTGCAGCCCAATGGTATCAATGTGGACTTCACAAGCTTCAAAATCTCCCTTCTCCCGACCGCATCCCAAAACCAGCCCAGCTCGTTCCCGCCTCCCTAACCATTCCTCCCACCTCAAGCCCCATCCCCGTCTCCTACCCATTAACCTCATCCCGCCTCCTTGACCTGTCCGTCCTCCCTGGACCGACCTATCCCCTCCCTAACTCCCCACCTACATTCACCTTTACTGGCTCCAACCCCGCCTCTTTGACCTGTCTGTCTCCTCTCCACCTATCTTCTCCTTTATCCATATTCTATCCGCCTCCCCCCCTCCTTATTTATTTCAGAATCCCCTTCCCCTCCCCCATTTCTGAAGAAGGGTCTCGACCCGAAACGTCAGCTTTCCTGCTCCTCTGATGCTGCTTGGCCTGCTGTATTCATCCAGCTCTACACCTTGTTATATCAGTAGATTAGTTGGTACATGAATTTATCTGACTTCTGCTACAATCTATGTCTGATGCTTTGCGCAGTTCTTTTAAGTGGTAAAAGTCTACAAGACGTGACTTGGCAGATACTGAAAGACATTTGCTGACTTCATGTTTCCACACAGACCAATTGAGGGCACTCGTGGATATTCCCCTTGGAATATAGTTTGACTGGAAAAATTAGCAGCAAATATTTGGAACAAGATAAGCTGCTAGCAGAGGAAATTGGAAAAACAGAGAAGGGCTCTTAAGGTTCAAAGGGCTGAATAGCCTACTACCCCATCTATTTCCTTTGTTACAGAAATTGACACCGGATGTAACCTCAACTGCTACCTCAGAGCAAGACAAAGAATTCATTGCTAAGCAGAGAAGGTGACTGTGGCAATAAACTTTCAATGCACCATGTTTCTTCCAGGCTGCAGCTGGAGATATGTGCAATGTTTCACAGATCACTGTCCACTTTTGCAGAAAGCAGGTCACTGAGCTAGCTATCTCTTCAAAGCTCTCTATCCTCTACATTTCATTTTTCCTTGCCAACAACCAGCAGGTGGAGCCATTATGCTAGGATTTCAGGCTTCAGGGTACTGCTGACTTTGCACACATCATTTTGAGGGTGCTGCATGTCAGTTTTGTTATGTATCCAAATTGAAAAGGCTTCCATTTTCTAAACATCCAACTGGTGTTTGACCAAAGGCTTTGTGAATCATGCAGATCACTCTCTTGCATTTTCTAAGAAAGATAAGTGAACAATAAAAACAGCCCTGGTGCAGTCTCCCACGACTAGTGCAGAGCAGACTTTTCAAGCCTTTTATGGCAACCAATACAAGTAAAGCAGCATGAGAATTCCTGAAGAACATGGCATCATATGGAAAAAAATAGCTGGGCAAATCTGTTTATCAACACCAGCACCATTCCAAACATATGGCTTCAATCCTTTGGCAAGCCAGGGAAACTATTAAACCAAAAATGAGAGTGAACCTCATTCAGAAACAGGATGGAGGGGTGGGTCCCATCTGGAGCAACAGAGCCATCACGATACACAGTGCTTCACTTAACCCGATCAACAGCAGAGTACTCAGGAGCCACCACATCAATAGTGACCTCTTTTGGAAAACTGTGTTCAATTCTGGTTTCCCTGCTGTAGGAGAGATGTTGTGAAACTTGAAAGGGTTCAGTAAAGATTTACAAGGATGTTTCCAGGTTTGGAGGGTTTGAGTTTTAGGGAGAGGCTGAATAGGCTGGGGCTATTTTCTCTGGATTGTTGGAGGCTGAAAGGTGAACTTATAAATGTTTATAAAATCATCAAGGGCATGGATAGGGTGAATGGCCAAGGTTTTTTCTCCAGGATAGGGGAGTCCAAAACTAGAAGGCATAGCTTTAAGGTGAAAGAGGAAAAATCTAAAAGGGACCTAAGGGGCAACTTTTTTACCCAGAGATGGTGCATGTTATGGAATGAGCTGCCAGAGGAAGTGGTGGAAGTGTGTAGAATAACAATATTTGAAAGGCGTCTGGATGGGTACATGAATATGAAGGGTTTAGAGGGATATTGGCCAAATGCTGGTAAATGGGATTAGATTAATTTAGGATATCTGGTCAGCATGGATGAGTTGGACTGAAGGGTGTGTTTCTATGCTGTACATCTCTATGACTCAGCAAAGCCATGAGGACTATTTCTGGGAAATTGAGTCTAACACAGGTCAAGTGGCTTCCTGTGCTAGTACATTGAGCCCCCGATATCCACCAGGGAAACACCATCTTCAAAGAACACCATCAACTGATAATTAGCAAAGAAGCCATTTGCACAGGACCTTAAAAATCCCACACATTCGTTTGAAACTCCATAGGCCCTGGTGAAACATGTAGCACAACCCACAAGCTGACAACGGCTCTACCTGTCAGTACAGTAGCTCCTTCTTTACTGAAGACTTCAATACAAATAGGTAACTGACTAGAATCATGAAGTCCAAAGATTCAACCTTACATGGATAATCCGTTCATTATTTAACTGTCTGAGGTCAGGCCAGTGGTTCCACAAGTGGAACATGAGGGACAGCTCAAATTGTGACTGTAGCCAGACCATTGCTCTATCCTAGACCTTGTACTATCAACTAATTGAAATAGCTAGACTGGAAGCAGCCAGGGCATATTAAGCAAATGATTGTTGCTGAGCAACGATGGCAAGCTGTTGAAATGAGGCCCCCTGCATTTCATAGGCAACACATGCACATATGTTCAGCATAAATGCAATTAAGAGATAGTTAGAACTGCCGATGCTGGAGTCAGAGACAACATAGTGTGGAGCTGGAGGAGCACAGCAGCATCAAAGGAGCAGGAAAGTTGACATTTCGGGTCTGGACCCTTCTTCAGAAATGAGGCAGGGGGAAGGGAGCTCCAAAATAAATAGAGAGAGGAGGGGTGGAGCTGGGGAAGGTAGGTGGGATGGTGGTAGGTGAGTGCAGGTAGGCAGTGGTGGGGATTGGTTAGTGAGGTGGGAGGAGCGGATAGGTGGGAGAGATGATGGACAGGTTGTCAGGTCAAGGCGGTGGGAATGAGCGGGAGGGTTGGTCATAGGATGAGGCTGGGGGTGGGAGATTTTGAAACTGGTAAAGTCCACATTGAGACTATTGGGTTGTAGGCTCCCAAGGCGGAATATGAGGTGCTGCTCCTCCAGTTTTTGAGTGGCGTCATTCTGACACTGGAGGAGGCCTAGGATAGACATGTCACCCAGTGAGTGGGAGGGGGAGTTGAAATGGTTTGCAACTGAACGGTGTTGTCATTGTTGCAAACAGAGCGCAGATGCTCCACAAAGCGGTCTCCGAGCCTCAGCTTGGTCTCACCGATGTAGAGGAGGCCAAATTGGGAGCAGTGGATGCAATAGAACAGGTCATGTTTAAGGTTGTGTCTGCACAGACAGAAGATACTGCTTAATGCTTGAAATCTCTGCTCCAAACAACTGGAAGACACATTGAGGCTACGGGATATACAAATTATAATCCAATGCCCTCCTGAATGCTTCAATTGAACCTGCCTCTACCACACATCTAAGCAATACATTCTATTCCCTACCTACTCATTGAGTAATGATGTTTTTCTCATATCCCCCTTACTTCTTTTGCAAATCACTTTAAATCTGTGCTGTCTTGTTCTTGTTCCTTTTACATATGGCAACAGTTTCTCCCTATCCACTCTATCTTGTTTCTCATGATTTTGAAATCCTCTGTTAGATCTCCTGATAACCTTTGTTTCTCCAAAGACAACAGACCTAACTTCTTTAATCTATCTTCATAATTGAAATTTCTCGTCCCTGGAGCAATTCTTGTACAGCGCTTCTGCATTCTCCCCAGTGCGGTCACATCCTTCCCATAATGTTGCACTTAGAACTGTACACAATATTCCACCTGAGGCCTAACAAGAGTTCTATATAAATCCAACATCATCTCCTTGCTCTTGTACTCTATGTCCCTATTAATAATTCTTTACTGCTTCCTCCAACTGTCCTATCATCATCTGTGCATATATGCACATAGGTCCTTCTGTTCCTGCACCCAATTTATAATTGTACCCCGTAGTTTATATTGTCTTTCAGTGTGCTTCCTACCAAAATGTATTACTTTACAATTCCTTGCATTGAAACTCATCTGCTATCATCTGCCCACTCCACCAACTTGTCTGTGTCCTTTTAAGAGTTCTGTACTACCCTCCTCATAGTTTACAATTCTCCCAAGTTTCATGCCATCTGCAAGCCATGATCTAGATCATTAATATATATACAAGGAAAAGATAGGGTCCCAATACCAAACCCTCGGAGACCTACTACAAAATTTCCTCCAACCTGAAAAATATCCATTGACCATGATTCTTTGACTCCTATCACTTAGCAAATTTTGTAGCCACAGGAATCCAGAAAGTCTTGGGCGTTATTGAATACTTTCGTCACTGGCAGGTGCATAGTAGTGCACCCTGGAGATAAGATACATAGCTAATGAGGCAAGCTGTAGACAATATTGTGAGAAAACTCTCTAGAGCTCATGGAGGAAACCCCTCCATCAAAATTGAGAATTCACTGGGTTTTGGTAAAATTAGGTTGAATGTAAACAGTGGTAGAATTTAACCTTGTAAGTATTCCATTTAACATCTGTAAAGTGGCCAAAGGCAGGTTGATTAATAAACTTTAAGAAAGCATAATATTTTTGCTAAAATCATGCTTTTATTAAATTTTAAAGAAAGGAATCTTATATAGATCAAAAAATACATAATCTTTTCTGAAACTGGCTTTTTTTTATTTGACATTACCTGTGAATTAACATACCAACAAATATACAAAGGAGATATTCTACAGAGCACAGTAGAGGTCCTGGACATGGAAGAAAAGTTATGCAAGCAGTTGATGAAATTGCTATGTGCATCATAAGTAATGTTTTTTGTTCTAACATTTCAATATTTTTAAAAATATCTTAATTAGTACAAGCAGAGAAAAGAATTACACAGCCTAATGTATTGTAAAGAATTACACAGTGCAATTTCATTCCATTGTTTTTACATTTGTTTACTAATTTTAACCAAATTTAGAGACAATACAACACATTTTTCCATTTTAGACCCATATCCACTTTTTACTAAAGTTAGTTACCGTATATAACTATTCCCCAACTCCAAACTTAGTAACCTGTAGTTGTTACTTACCATTGTATATTTTTCTCAATGTGTGGTTTCTCAGTTTACCATTTTTTCCTGAATGCTTTTTCCATTTAATAATGAAGTGATAAAAATGATTTGCTATGTTTAAAACAATAAAGATTAATGGTTCTGTGTTTGTTCACAAACAAGCAAATGGACAAACGTGATGGCATCATGAATATTAGTTTATTTAAACACTGGATATTTTGAAATTATTGTTTGACCTGGTTAGCTTTAGCAAAATGTTGTCTACACGTGAAAGAAGTGGCATTGCATGTCACTATAAGGCAAAGCACATCTATCCAATTAAAAATGTTGTCAAGCTAGTGAATTCAGGAGGAAAAAGCACAATTAAAACTAAAACTCTCATACCTATCAGAATTTCAATCATGCACAATTGAACTTATGCTTTTTGAATGTTAGTTATAGGTAGGCTAAATCATCCATCTCCATTGGTTTACATCATGCATGAGGAATGTTGTTTGAAATCCATATTCAAAATCAGCTGTAATAATGAGTCCAAGAAAATTTTACAGACTGTGTAACGTAAATATGAAATAGAGCAGCATTTCTCTACATGAATTCACAACAAACAATTGAAAAAGGAAATTATGATCCAAAATGGTGAAGGTAACTGAGTAAGAATAGAAAATACACTAAATGGATTTTTTTTGTATTAGTAGGGTAATTGGACATTGAACTTTTTGGTTTCAACGTTGTCAGGAAGAAGGCATGTGATAAAAATAAACATTTCCGTTAAGGTGTGATCCAGACCTAGCTGGTGTCAAAAGAAGTGACTAACAAAAATTGAATCAGTCCGCATCCTACAGAAACAATGTCAAGAGTATACTAGGGTTGTAAAGTAGTTAAGACAATACCTATGTTAAATGTGGAAATAGCAATAAGTCATCAAAATTACAGACCAGTAGTTATGAATTGTGTTTCAGAAAGCATCATGAAAGAAGGAATAAGATATTTAGGTAGATATTGAATGCCACGATAGACTGAATTGTGGCAAAGAAAAGTTAATATTTTTGAGAAAGTTATCTTGTTTGTGTTGCTGATAGATTTTTATAATACTTATGATGCAGTATTATGTAAGTGATAAGCTGAAGATAGGGAGACATGAATTGAAGGAAAGATTTGATGGTGGGTATGGTCATTACCAGGAGAATGATTTACTATTCTAATTTATAACAATGATATAAAGCATTGGAGGCAGTGCAGTGGACCAATAAAAGTAATACAAACAAAAATATCTGGTTTAAGATATGTGAGATGTGAGGAGAGGTTAAAAAGACTGGGATTGTTTACTGAGGAGATGAGAAGATTGAAGAGAAATGTTTAGTATCCAAGATTCTTAAGTGAAGAAATAAATTGAAACCCAATTGCCATAAATGATAGAATTAGAATATTGCCTGACAGACAGTTTAGATTTTACCACTTTATGTACTGATGATGAGCATGTGGAATGGATTTGCCAGGGAGACTGGTAATGTGGAAATTTCAAGGTTGGATTGGATATTTGGGAATGTCAGCTCTTACGCATCATCAGTCTGAGGGTGCAGTCAGATAAACTGCCAGGTTTTTTGCTTTTTCCCAGTCCCTGCATTGTTACTGCTTTCCTTCTTAAATATCCTAAGAGCTATTTCTCAAATATTTTTCAGTTATGTTGTGATTTTAGTGTCTTAACGTGTTTATTACATTATAAAAATACTTTTAATGCAAATAGTTGTGATAAAACAACATGTTACACAAAATATTTACTTCACCATTTTCTACTTTTCACTTCTATGTTAGTCAATGTTTTTGCAAGAAATACAATTTTAAGATGAGGCATCATCTAGACTTCATCTTCTAGATATCACATCTTCCCTCTTGGGTTTGGTGGTTGAGGTTTGGTGATTATGGATTGTATTTCAAAGAGAGCAAATTCTTTGAATAGAATATTATAGCTAACCCAAAAAGGATAAAATGTGCAATTTATTTTAGTTGAAGAATGCCAGCTACTGATTAGATATGGGATAGAACGTTATTTTTACTATCAGGATTGGTTCACCAATGTGGAATTTTGCCTCAGTGAGCCTTTTAAGAGATGTCATTAGCAATATTAACAGCCCTCACAGCTAAGGAAAAGAGATGGACATTTGAAATAATATTTAGCCCTATAGAATTAGGAACTGGAGTTCTTTCCCATTTTTCTGCACCTTTTTGGTAACAAATTAAAGTTAAGTAGCAAAGTTTTCACCATGGCACCACAAATATATGTTCAGTCAAAGCAAAGTTCCTCTTAGATAAATTTTGAAACCAAATGGAGGTGCCAGAAAACAGAACTTCTTAACATGCAAAGCACACTCTTCCAAACAATGATACTGTTGGTAACAGCTTTAAATAAAAATGCTGACTCAAGTCCATATGCACCTAAATTTATACTGTTTGAAAAGAATCAACAAGATAGTTTGCTCATCTTTCAATATATATATATTTTTAAAATTCATTTTCCAAACAAAGTTCTACCAAAGCAGGGATGCAAAGTTTCTTTTAAAATTCACGCCATACCATTTGAAATTATGATTTAACTTATGCATTACATAACAGTGAGAATTTGTGTTTCAAGTATACAATTGCAACACAAAACACTGAACTGATGATGCTGCCTCATCACAAGTAATTTTGCATCCACACAGATCATATTGTACAACTGTACCCTTTAGTGCTACCAGTACAAAGACAAATTTAAAAGTTACAATTGAAAAATATATTTTAGATACAGTTAAGTTATACATTTCACCAAAAGGTTTCAAATGTCTACTGAACAAATTGCTAAGAAAATTAAGACCAGTATGCATTATAAGTGAAAAATGAACACTATGAGATATAATTGATGAGCAACAATTAACATTGATTCAGTTAGCATATTAAATACAACAGGCATTAATTCTAAGAAGCCAAACTTATTTCCCAATTTCATTAAAGCAGGAGGGACTGCTGTTTACTGAAATCTGCTTAGCCTATTGCTCACAGTAGATCATAACCATTCACTTTGTATACACACACCTGTATTAAAATCTAAGATACTCCAAGACAAACAGCTGCAATATTTTATTCAGATTATCAATTGATGTTGGATCCAGATTGTTCTCATTGTCCTCCATGCTGTGCCACACTTGAGGGAAAGGTGTAGGTATGATGTGCAAAATAGGAACACCTAAGGAACATAAAAGTGTAGAATTACATGATGTTTCAATGTTTAGTAGCTTATTCCTTTCAATATCACGATCTAAAGTGGTCCAGAATGTGTGGTCACTGTAAGACTTTAAGAATCCGTTACATGATCAAGAATGTAAAATTTCTGAGAAGCTTTTCTGACTTGCTGCTCATTTCATGATGTCTCATAATCACAAGCAGAAGATCAACTGCCTCATGCCATTCCATATATTACCCTTCAAATAAACCACCTGGTCAGCCTGCTTTCAGCAATATTAAAGGGTGACTTCTAAGCTGAAATCCGAGAAACCCAAAGGAAATGCATTCAGGCATTTTAATGTCACAATTCAGGCCACTAATGAAAGTACTGATAACATAGAAATCCTGTACTGCAAACCAAGAGATCATGGGAACGATGTATCAGATGGCTACTTTTAATGATCACAACTAATGCAGAAATTAAAAAAAATTGCATATATATAGTGCATTTCATAACCAGTGGAGAACTCAATGTTTTTTTTTAATAATAATGAAGTCATATTTTTTAAAATCACTTTGCAAGATAGGAAATCTGCAACCATTTTTGCAAAACAAACTACTACAAACAGCTTTGTGAATGATCATAGAATCACATGACCTGTCAAATTCTTTTGTGTGATGTTAATTGAGAAATGACCAAGATACCAGGTGTAACTCCCCTGCTCTTCTTCAAATTAGTGCCATGGGATCTTTTCCATTCACAGTGCCGGCAAATTGAACCTTATTTAATATTTTATGAAAATGTATGTCAGCCTTGATCTTTATTCTTAAGTTCTGGAGTGGAATTAGAACCTAGAACTCAGTGTCTCTGAGCCAAAGGTGTCACTATGCCAGTTGATTAGTGAAGATAAAAACAAGTTGTAAGACACTAGCTGCTCTCTTGCATAATAGCTGTCAGATGTTTTTGTGAAAGGTCAAATTGCCTGCCTTTGGGGCCTATCAATAACTGGAGAATGTATTGTGGTCAGAGCTTGCCTAGAGTAGTTTGTTACATCAGAATTGTGGAGTAGGAACTTATTTGTTCATTTTATGTAATGTTTAATTGGAATTATATTTGTCAAAAGAAGTTATAGACAAACATTTGAAAAGGAGATGTCTTGGGCTCCTCACACTTGGAGAAACACAACAAGCTAAGATATTTTCCACCAAAGATTTTGCTTGATTCAGTGCTGAGCAAGAAGCTTGGTATATCAAGCTGGAGGCAGATCATGCAAGTGACTAAGACACAGCAACCCTGTCTAGCAGCAAATGCGTGTAGGAAAAAATGTACTCCAGATGGTAAGATGCTGAAAGCAAAAATATGATATTCATAATTGCAATATTCATAATAAATTCATAATCTGTCGTATGCTTTGGAGATGGGTCAGAGTGATACTAATCAAGATGGTGCGCAATTCTTCATTATTCTGAAATACTAGGCTTTCCTTTTCTTCCCAAGGTCAATAACTGATAGAAAGGAAACTCATGTTTATCCTCATCACAGTTGTAAAGGTTAACCGAAGGCAAGTAAACATGATCCTTTTTGCAGTAAAGCAACTGAGCTGGGGAAGTGGAATACTTTGTGATCTTATTATACAATGTTCGACAATAACGGATGTCCAAATCTTTTGATGTCGATTATATTGTTGTGTCATTAAAACAATTTTTAGCCTTTGTGGAGTTCAAGTTTGAAAAAAAAATGAAGCAGATAAAATAGCTGTTCTGACTAAACCTGGTGTGGCAAACAGGTTCAATTGAAAATTGAGGTCTGCAATTATAGACTTGTTGTGATCTGTACAGTAAAGTGGTTTTTGAATTTGGGGTGGATTGGAATGAGAAAATGTTTTTTCCTGTGCATAACATGTTTAATGAGCAGGAATAGGAGAAGAAAGCACTACTAAGCCAGTATATCTGATGAAATATACCGTTTAGAAATGTGATTGGACATATGGTTGACTACACAAATTTGATTTCTTCTGAAAAAGAAATAACTGAATAAGAACAGGCAAACTTAATCAGATCACATCACTTTTAATGTGAACACTTTTAGGCTGGATTTTCATCAGTGTCCTTGTTGTCTGCACCTCCCAAACGTCTACCACTTCAGTTCTCTGAAACTATGGCTTAGTTAGACAAAAAGAGTCTGTATCCTTCACCACCTCCATGCAACCTTCCCAAGCCACATTAATGCCCCCATGCCACCTCCATAGCCATTCACCCAAGATAGACAATGGGTGGACCTCAGGAACCATCGAGAAGAAGAAAATCATGCACACTTCTGTTGAAAATACTCAGCCATGAAACCCATTTAAAAATGTCATATCTCCACAAGTTATAGCTCAACTGCTGTAAAAACAAACTTCTCTTCACCAGCCACATTAAAGATGTACTTTAATAAGATATCAAATCTGTCAGTCAAAATTTGAACTTGGCTCCCCTGCCAAGAGAAAAGGATTTGGAGATTTTGAAACTTGACCAAGCATTCAAAATCAACTCATCAGTAAGAACAACCTTTGGAAGTCTAAGAATTAAGTCTATTGAAACTGCAGGACGAGATGTTTATGTTTTTATTTTGTTGGCTAAACCAATTGCCCTGTTAATTAATGCATTCCGGCAGTTAGAGTCTTACTTTAAGTCTGAGTGATGACTGGAGCATTTTTTTTTTTATTTTTAAAGCGTTGGGATTTAAATAACAATATCATGACACTCAAACAGATTTTATATAGCCTCTGAAAGCATTTTTGCCTCCTTCATAATAATTTCATAATTCCAATTCTGAAGAAGGGCCACTGGACTCAAAATGTTAATTCTGCTTTTTCTTCATAAATGCTGCCAACCTGCTGAGTTTGTCCACCAATTTCTGTTTTTGATTGAGAATTTCAGAATCCATAGTTCTTTGCTTTATTCTAATTTGTTCATTAATGTCTTTTAGGGAATAAAATCTGTTTTCCTTATCTACTTAGGCCTACATTTTACTCCAGACCTACGGTAATTCATTGACTCTTAACTGCCCTTGGAAATGGCCTAGTAATCCAGTCAGCTCAAGGAAATTTTGGGATATGGAGCAAATTTAAAGTTTTTGAGAATATATTTGGCTCGGATTGTGGATGAGGTTGTAGACTTGCTCGTCGAGCTGGCGTATTTGATTGTAGATATTTCGTCACCCTGCTAAGTAACATCGTCAGTGTGCCTCCAATGAAGCGCATTGGTGTTCTGTCCCGCTTGATATTTATATGCTTTGTCTTGCTGGAGTGATTGGCTTACTTCCGGTTCTGTTTTTCAGTGATTTGTATATTGGGTCCAGTTCAATGTGTTTGTTGATGGAGTTCCAGTTGGAATGCCAGGCCTCCAGGAATTCCCTGGCATGAGATAACAAGGTGTAGAGCTGGGTGAACACAGCAGTCCAAGCAGCATCAGAGGAGCAGGAAGGCTGATGTTTCGGGCCTAGACCCTTCTTCAGAAAGGCATGTCTCTGTTTGGCTTGTGCTAATATGGATGTGTTGTTCCAGTCGAATTCGTGTCCTTCTTCATCTGTGTGTATTGAAACCAGTGAGAATTGGTCAAGTCTCTTGGTGGCTAGTTGGTGTTCATGTATCCTTATTGTCAGTTTTCTTCCAGTTTGGCCTATGTAATGTTTCTCACAGTCCTTGCATGGTATTTTGTATATTACATCTGATTAATGTGGTTGTGGATATGGGATCCTTTACGTTCGTCAGTAGCAGTCGCAGGGTGGTTGTTGGTTTGTGGGCTAGTCTGATACCTAGGGGTGTGAGTAGTCTTGTGGTCATCTCTGATAAGTTTGGTAGGGTGACTAGTGTGTGTGCCCGTGTTGTGTCTTCTTGTTGTGGTCTGTCATGGAGGTAATGGCAGATTGTGCTTTTTGGGTATCCATTCCTTTTTAAAACTCCATATAAGTGCTCCTGTTCTGCTTTGTGCAATTCTGGGTTGTTGCAATGTGTTGTGGCTTGTTTGAATAATGTTTTGATGCAGCACCGTTAATGGGTGTTGGGGTGGTTGCTGGTGTAATTAAGTATCTGGTCTTTCTGTATACACTAGTCTGGAGTTCCCCGTTGTTCTGATGTTCTACCATTATGTCAAGGAAGGGTGGTCGGTTATTGTTCTCTTCTCCTTTTGTGGATTTTATTCCGGTGAGGATGTTGTTTATGTGTTGGTGGATTTCTTCTAGTCTTGTGTGTTTAATAATCACTAAGGTGTCATCTACATAGCGGACCCAGAGTTTGGGTTGTATAGTGGTGAACGCTGTCTGTGCTAACCCTTGCATCACTGCTTCTGCAATCAGTCCTGATATTGGGGATTCCATTGGTGTTCCGTTGATTTATTTGAATATATGGTCATTGAAGGTGAAGTGGGTTGTGAGGCACAGATCTGGCAGTTTCGGGGTAGGTCTTTGTTGATGCTGTTGGTGTTGTGGGGTGCCTTCCTTCCTGATTCATCCAGCAGTGTGACACTTGTTTCTTTGGCTAGGTCGATGTTTGGCTAGATCCATAATAGCACAAGCCAAACAGAGACATGCCAGGGAATTCCTGGAGGCCTGGCATTCCAACTGGAACTCCATCAACAAAAACATTGAACTGGACCCAATATATACACTATTGAAAAACAGAACCGGAAGTAATGCCAACCACCCCAGCAAACCGAGGCATATAAATAACAAGCGGGACAGAACACCAATGCGCTTCACTGGAGGTGCACTGGCAATGTTACCTAGCAGGATGAAGAAACGTCTGCAATCAAACACACCGGCTTGGCGAGCATGTCTACAACCTCTATGGAGCAAATATTGGCCTTGCCTGTCACACCCAAATCCCACAACAGATGTTTTTAAAAATCCTTATGCAAGATATTCCTTGACTATTAGATATCAGGCTGTGAGTAAACTGTTTGTTTCACTGTTTTATCTTTATTTAAAATGAGCTAACCGTTCCAATAAAAAATATGAATTTTATCTCAATACTTTAACCAATTTGTTTCAAATTGCACACAGGTGACTTTTGGCATACTGATAAAGGACAGGAAAGGATGAACAGACAATTGATTAGAAATAGACTGTAATCAACGGATCTGTAAAATATATTTTAGAAAAAATATTCAATTAATGGAAGTAGTATAAAACAATTTAAAATTACGGAACCTTTCACAAAGTGGTAAGCTGATCCATTGGCTTGTGGTGGCTTTCATAAACAGTTAATCAATTATTTCTGTTCTGCTGCTCTATTAATAGAGCCACAGAGTACAAAAACAAGGAAGCAATGCTAAATATAAATAAATCTATGACTTTGTTACATAACAGGAGAAAAACTTTGTCACTGTAGCATGCTACAACATACCTCTTTGCAAAAATGGTGTATGGTCATCCTCAATATGCCCAGCTCTCATTTTGGTCCAGAAATATTTCACCTCATTGAAGTGGTTGTTCAGTAAACCCAGTCGATGCAGACGACGTTCTATTAAACAACAACAAGCAAGTTCAGATGAAAGGTCATCGACCAGGAATGTTTTTTGTTATAGAGTCATTGAGGCACACAGCATGGAAACAGACCCTTTGGACCAACCAGTCCATGCTGACCATAATGCCAAACTAAACTAGTTCCCTGCCTGCGCTTGGCCCATATCCCTCCAAATATTTCTTGTCCATGTACTTATCCAAATTACTTTTAAGTGTTGTAACTGTACCTGCACTTCCTCTGGAAGTTCATTCCACATATGAACCACTCTCTGTGTAAAAAAAATTGCCCCTCATGTCTTTTTTAAAATATTTCTCCTCTCACCATAAAAATATGCCCCCTAGTCTTGAAATCCCTCACCCTAGGGAAAAGACACCTACCATTCAACTTCTCTATACCCCTCATTATTTTAGAAACCTCTATAAGGTCACCGCTCAACCTCTTACGCTGCAGTGAAAAAAGTCCAAGCCTATCCAGCCTATCTAGCCTCTCCTTATAACTCAAACCTTTTATTCCCGCTAACGTCCTGGTAATCTCTTCTGAGCCTTCTACAGTTTAATAATATCCTTTCAATAACAGAGAGACTAGAACCAGGCAGAGTACTCCAGAAGGGGCCTCACCAATGTCCTGGACAACCTCAACATAATGTCTTAATTCCCACAGCTTTATGTATATATTTCTATTGTTTCGAGTCAAGAAGTGGAAATTAGAGAAGGTCGGTCAGCAGAGGGATGGAGTGGGATTTCATGTGCATTAGGGACATGGAAGGTAGAGTTTTAGATGAGCTCAAGTTTATAGATGGATAAGAGATTCAGAAGAAGATGAACTTAGAGTGAGAGAATTGATTGGGGAAATTGTAGTTATGAATACATACAAGTCAGAAGGAAAGAGAAAAGAGGAAGCAAAATGCAAGATGAAGAAAATTTGCAATATACAATAACCAACAAATCTATAGCAAATCTACATGCCTAAAATTTCTGTTAGTGCTTGTTACCTATTAGCTGTAGTCTTTTATGCCATCGAGCTGTATTTGGAAAATAACTTGGAAATCTTGGATCTGGCGCACCAATTAAATCCAGTAACACAAGTAAGTCCTAAGAATAATAATGTAATTGTCAAATTAAAGTTAGAAAATCAGTAGGTTTGTTCATTACCTCAATTTCTAATGACTACTTAGTCGATCTTATAGTATTAAAAAAGACCTATCAGGTCTAAATTCCATCACTAAAATGAATTGCTTCAGCTTCAGTTTAGTATCCTCTCTAAAATGCAATTGCTTTATTCTGGAAGCCTGTTTTGAAAAAAACCTGAACTCAGTTAATTAGAATTGTAAGTGTCTCCATTTTCCTCATGGGAAGGAAAGGGTGGCAGCAGGATGACAATCCATACCCAGTGTTGCTCAATATTGAGAGATAAAAGTTGCATCAAATAACCAATATATTTATTTCAGTTTACAGTTCCTGCACCTTCTGGGTTCCTGCACTTGTGGATGGGATCATGTCTTCAATAGAATTTGACTTTGTGTGTTGACCTAACAATCAGTGGATATATTTAAAACATATTTTATATTGCTGTCTTCAATATCAAATGTGAACGTTCTATATAGAGGCTGAATTTCCTACTCTTGCGGGAAACAAGAGTAGGGACTGTTTGGACCCGAACTAACACCCAGGGAAAAACAGCCACACTTTGGAATTTTCAGGGGTTTTCCCCTGAATTGATATGGAAGACATCGAATTAAAGGTGACAGGCAGGCTTTCAATGCTCTAGGGCTGTTTTGAAGTCTTCTACCTAGAGAGGAGCAGCAGGATGCGTGACAGGTAAGTGACTGAGATGGAACTTCATAATAAAGGTGCCCTCTTGCCAACATTTTAAAAATTTTCATCAGAAAATGTTCCTGAAGCTAGGCCAGCGCTGTGTGGGAGAGTGGAGGACATTTCCTCTCGTGGGCATCCTATTTGCTATTCTCACATCAGGCATCTAGGGAAAACCTCTAGGCTTGCCTACAGAGCTGCTACCATCTGCACTGAACCATGACTCGAGACTGTTAAAGAGCCCCCTTGTGTCAGGAAACTAAGGAAGGTCAATAGGCCTGTTTTAGCTATGGTTAACAAGATTTCACATTGCCATTAACCAATAAGGGAAATAAAGAGGTTTGTTGAATATTTAGGAACTCCATTTTAACCTGTGTTTGAGAAAACTTGGACCATCTATTGATGACAATCATTTCTTGGATTTTTTTCCACGATTTGCATCCAGTCAGTACTTACAATTCCATGCAGCTGGTTGGTGTCAGTGGCACCAGGTGGATGTGCCTCCCTCTCCATCTTCTGCGCTAAATGTCGGGAACCATATAGTGAATCAATATCAGACCAATATTGAAATGCTTCTTCACCATCAAAAAAAATTAGCTGCAGGGTAAGATCTGGTCTGTCCCTAATATCCTAAATGAAGGAGAAATAATTTAAGTGTAAGCCTGTAGAAATTTACCCATACTAGGAACCTTTTGGGGTCATAAATACATTGTATTTCTGCTGAGACATTTATAAATATTAAAGTTCAAAAAATTTGAAGTTGGAAAACATGTATAAATCATATTTAGGAAACACAACACTGGTAAAATTACAAAACTCTGAAATGTACTATTATAGGAATTAGTAAGATATGAGCTTACTTACTTGAATCACTGTAACCAATTTAAACTTTGGACAATGCAACCTGTATTTAAACTGTTGTTGGGTCAATTTCCCTAGAGAAGGATTTTCCATTTATTTTGATATAGTATGATGATATTTGCTCAGCAGCATTTAAAATCTTCTTGTGTTACTGGTTTAAAGGTGCTCATGAGCCCTTCATTGTTGTTGAACTCGTGACCTTGATTTTATTAGAACCATATTCTAAGTAATGGTACGTATTATGGTAGTTGTATGTTAGTTATTTGCAGCACAAATTAAATACCATTGGCTTTGAAGTACCTCAAACAATTCTGCCCAATTACCCATTGCACCATCTATCCAATGTACTGATTTAATTCAAATGTATTTGTTCATTTTGCTATTCATCTTGTGTATGTTCAATTGTTTCTTGAGAAACTGGAAGAACTTGCCTTTTGTGGTTTTTGCTATGTTTGCAGATGGCTGTATTGAATTTTCTTAAAAAGATATTCTTGGATAGAGGCATTGTCATTAATAGGAGTTTGATTTTTCAATTTTTTAAAACTGGATTTCATCTATCCAATTGATGATAATTAAAAAAATATTATAGACAAGTGTTTAAATGAGCTGAAAAGCAAAGGTAGTGTAAAATATTGTTTATGGACAGTACATTAGATGCAAATAATGTGTAAGAATTTGGTCAGTTTGATGGGTTTTGTTTTGACTTCTGATTCAACTTTTCCAACAAGTGGTAGTGGCATATTGTATGAGTAATTTCAAGGTTTTTTTTGTCTTCAGAAGCACCAGTTTATTTTATTAAATGTTTCTGAATTAGTGTGTAAGGAAGTCCCATTTCAAAGCAAATAATTTAAAATGTTTTCAAACTATTGGAGGGGGTGCCCTCTAAACCACACCCTCCCAATGCTTGGTCACTACATTGTTTTACAGGGCTCACCTATTTTCAGGGTTTTATTGATTCACTTAACTTGATTGCATCAAGGAGGTGATGATACACCTTCTTGAAACACTACAGTCCATGTAGCGATAGAACATGCATACTGCTGCTAGGCAGTTCCCATATTTCAATCCATTGTAGATTGCAGGTTTCAAAGATGCTGTTGAAGAAGCCTTGGTGACTTTGTGTTGCATCCTGTATATAATACATAATACAACTGCAATGTGCTAGTTGTACTCGGGAGCTATGTTTCAGTGCACATGAGTTGCCAATCAAGCAAACTGCTTTGTTCTAGTTAGTGTCAAGCTTCTTGAGTGTTGCTTCAGTGGAATCAATTCAGGGCAGTGACTAGAGAATCAGATAGTTCAGTTGGCTAGATGACTATATTGTGGTACAGGATAAAGCCAACAGTGCAGGTTCAGCCCCTATACTGGCTGTGATAGTTCATGGAGGCCATCCCACCTTATCGCAGGCTTGTGACGCGGTTATCCTCAAGTTACACATAACAATTGTCTTTCTCTAATGAATAGTGATAATTATGGCCCTTTTTGGACTATGGGTCCTTACAATTCAGAGAAATGGTTAATATTCCATTACATTGCTATTTTGTGCCTTCTAGATGATGGAGGTCAAGAAGACAGGAGGTGAGCTATAAATAATAAAATACCCAGCTGTAATGCTGTGACAGGTCAGCATTTTAAATGGTTGTCTCATTTGAACTTTTGGACAAATGCGACCCTCGCTGCATTTAAGTGAGTGGAATCTAAATAACAGTACTATTCACTTGTTGGAAATAGTTACTGCTCGGCTTAGTACAAATGGTACTTTCTTCTTATCACCACAAGTCTGAAGTTTGTCAAGGTCTTGCTGCATGCATGTTGAAAAGCAAATGTCGATTTTGTGCAAATCAAAATTCTATTATTGGAGCAGAATAACTAGCCAGATAAGCTGTTTTAGTACTATTGGTTGCTCTTATTGGCATTAGTGGGAGGATTCCGCTTCAAATAGCATAAGGGGATCTTTACGTCTTTTTAAGCAGACAGAGAGGGCCATGATTTAACATTTCATTTGAAAGATTGTATCTCCTATAGTGCAGCATTGAAACATCAAGTAAAATTATATTGCTTGAGTCCTAAAATGAGCAAATCCTACAATCTCTGAGTGGGGTCATGAGCTGAAGATCACCAGGGATGGGGATCAGTAGGAATGGCAGGGGGTTTGCTTTCAGTGGGTTCCCTTTATGGTGCTGCATCTCTCAGTCAGGCACTATGCCTTTGAATGAGTGACAATGTTCCATCCCTGCTTTAATATTAGGAACATGGGAACAGGAATAGGCCATATAGCCCTTCAACTTTGTTCCAACATTAAGTGAGATCGTGGCTGATCTGTGGTCTAACTCCATATACTTTCCTGTAGTCCATATCCCTTCATACCTTAGATAAATATTTATCTATCTCAGATTTAAAATCAGCAAGTAATCCTGCATCCACTGCCATCTGTGGAAGAAAGTTCAAAACATCTACCATCCATTATGTATAGAGGTGCTCCCTAACATCTCTCCTGAATGGTCTGGCTCTAATTCTCAGACTATCACCCCTAGTTCTAGAATCCCTAACCAGTGGAAATAGTTTATCTATCCAGTCTTTTCCTGTTAATTTCTTGAAAACTTTGATCAGTTCACTCCTTCGCCTTGTAAATTCTAGAGAAAACAGGCCTAATTTATATAATCTCTCCTCATAGCATAATCCCTGAAATCCAAGTGTCATTCTTGTAAACCTCATTGTACTCCCTTGAAGGCCAATATATCCTTCTTAACGTGTGGTGTCCAGATCTGCTAACACTGCTCCAAATGGGGTCTTACAGGGTCTTACGAGGGGACATAGCTTTAAACTGAGGGGTGATAGATATAGGACAGATGTCAGAGGTAGGTTCTTTACTCAGAGAGTAGTAAGGGCGTGGAATGCCCTGCCTGCAAAAGTAGTAGACTCGCCAACTTTAAGGGCATTTAAATGGTCATTGGATAAACATATGGATGATAATGGAATAGTTTAGGTTAGATGGGCTTCAGATTGGTTTCACAGGTCGGCGCAACATCGAGGGCCGAAGGGCCTGTACTGTGCTGTAATGTTCTATGTTCTATGTTCTATTGTATAACAGCAGTATAACTTCTGCATTCTTGTACCCCAGTCCTCTAGATATAAACGCCAGAATTCCATTAGCTTTCCTGATTATTTTTTGCACCTTTGGTGACATTTTAAAGATCTATGAATCTGATGCCCTAAATCCCTTTGGACATTAACTGTATTTAACTTCATACCACCTTGAAAGTACCCTGATCTATCCTTTTTCAGTCCAAAATGGATAACTTCACATTTGCTTATATTAAACTCCATCTTCCATAGTTTTGCTTATTCACCTAGACTATTAATATTCCTTTGTAATTTTATGCTATCTACACTGTCTACAATGGTGACTAACTTGTGTCATCAGAAAATTTGACTGAATGACTTTCTATGCCACGAAGCCATTACTAAATAGTATCAAAATTGAGGCGTTAACATAAATCCATGTGGAACACCACTGGTCACATTCTGCCAATTCAAGAACCTATGAATTATCCTTCCTCGCCATGTCACTCATTTGCCCTGAATTCCACGTGCGTCTATCTTAGTTAAAAGTCTTTTACATGGGACTTTACCAAATGCCTCTGGAAGTCCATATAAACAACCATCCATAGACATTCCCTGTCCACTATTTTAGTCACCTTCAAAAAATTCAGTGAGGCTTGTCAGGCATGACCTACCCTTCATGAATCCATGTCAACTTTCCCTGATTAAAGGAAATGTTTCAAGGTATTCTATTACCCCATCCTTGATTATAGACTCCAACAATTGTTCAATCAGAGATATCAGGCTAACTGGTCTGTAATTCCATGGTTTTCCTCTTTCGCCCTTCTTAAAAAGCGGAAAGACGAGCAATTTTCCAATTCAGGGGGATGACTCCTGCATGTAGGGAACTCCAAAAAATTACAGTTAGGTCATCTACAATGTTCTTTCCTACTTCATTTAATAGTCTTGGATGAAAACTATCAGGTCCTGGGGATTTGTCACTCTTTAATTCTGTTAATTTCCTAATTACTGATATTTTACTAACATTAATCTTATTCAGTCCTGATTCCCAATCCACTATTAATTTCCTCAGGACTTCAAGCAAGCAACCCTCCTTTTCTACTGTAAATATTGTGGCAAAGTAATTATTCAACATGTCTGCTATTTCCCCATAATCATGGACAATATCCCCACTTCCAGTCTTTAGTGGGCCAATATTGCTCCTGACTATGCACTTTCCCTTTATGTAGCTATAAAATTTCTTTTAATTTATTTTAATATCCCTGGCAAGTTTCTTTTCATAACCCCTTTTAGTAGCTTTTGTAAGATGCTTTGTGGCCTTTGCTGGTCTTTATATCTTTCCCATTCAGCAGAATCTGTGCTGTTTATCACATTTTTGTAAGCCCTTTTGTTTAGTTTACGCTGTCGCTAAGCTCTTTAATTGTCCATGGCCATCTTTTCCCTGTAAAGTAGAGCTTTTCCTTCTCAAGAGTATAAACTGGTTTTGAATGGTGTTAAATATTTCTTTAAATACCTTCTACTGTTCCTCAGTTGTTTTACCCATTAGCAGATCTTCCTAATTTACTGTGGACAGTCCGTCTCATCTTGTTACATTTTGCTTTACCCAAATCCAAAACTCTAGTTGCTGATTCATGGTTTTCATTTTCAAAAGCTGTATGGAACTCAATCATGTTATGGTCACTATTCAATAAATGTTCACACATAATTCGGCTCATTATTCATTACTAAATCCAATATTGCTTGTCCTCTTGTTGTACCCAGGACATATACCCTGGACACTTGCCTAATTTCTGCACCTATACAATTTAGCACTTCAGAGCTGCTACCAGGTGGTCTGTACACATCACGTATTACAATCTTAAGTTCTTCACTGTTCATCAGTTCCAACCATACAGTCTCCACTGAATGCTTTCCCATCATTATATCCTCCCTCACCATTGAAGCAATTTTGTTTTTAATCACTAGGGCTATTCTATGACCTCTACCATTTTCCCTGTCGGTTCTGTAAACCTTATAACCCGGTATATTTAGTTCCCAATCCTGACCATATAGCAGTCATGTCTCAGTAATGGCTACTATATCACAATCTTCAATTTGAATTTGTGCTTGCAGTCCAATTCACAGCCTCAATTGGAGCTGGGAAGGGGATCAAAAAGCCTGCCTGCCACTGACTTAATTGTAGGTGGGAAAACAGTAAGGTCTTTTCCAGCCAGTTAAATGTTTCACCCCACCAAATTTGCCAAGAGGAAGGCTCAAGTTACAATACAACTAGTAATGGAGTGAAGCTTGAAGTGTCACCGTATTAATCATCCATTATGCGAACATCTATAACCAGAAAATTTGTTAAAATGTAGAAAAAAAGTTAATTTTTATTTAAGTAGGACAAAGTGATAATTTTCTTAAAATTGGAAACCAGAATATACATTATTTTTTAAGTTGACATTTTAACAATCTCTTTCACTTATCTTGATTCAAATGCAGGATGGATAAATTAACTGAAAATTTTGAGTGATTCTTTCCAGATTAATTGTTTATCAAGCCTATGCAATGATGTATCATATATTAAGGAGTACCTTCATCTCAAGTAGAAGATTATCCAGTGCACGAGCCAGTTCCAACATCATGGCACATGATACAGCAGCATCAGTGGCACCCACATACACTCTACTATACCACCACTCATTGTAGTATTTTGAGTCATAGTGACAAGCCAGCACCAGCCTCCGCTTAGCTGAGGGGTTCAGGGTACTGATGATATTTGAAAATGTGACTGTTCCATAGGGTATTGCATCCTGGAAACTGTCTTCTTCAATTATCCATCCAGCCTGGAGTTCACCTAACCGACTTATGATATGCTGTGGAGAAAAACAATTTTTAAAAAAGGTTAACTTCCACAAAAGCCAAAAATGTAGCTTGTTAAAAGGCATTTTTACCTGGAATATCTATCGGTTTGCTTTCTTAATAAAGGCACAAAGCAGGATGTTGTATGCTTAGTGTAAATTTATTGGACTGTCCATTAAATCCGACAGGACTTCTTGTATCCAGCTCTATCAAAGTGCCAATCTAATTCAGAGATTGATAATAACAACAAAATTGAAAGGGGAGTTTTATGTGATCCCCATTTTAATGCCTCTTTTGGCTGCTCTTTGCAATGGTTCAGGAGAATGTTAACAGTCGTCATTTCAGTTCGTAGCCTGGAAGACGGTTTTGTTTTAAACTCATTTTTAAAAAGTTGGCATTGGCAGGCATGGCTAGAATTTAATTCTTATCTCCTTCAGAGGCGGTGGTGTGCTACTTTCTTGAACTTCTGCAGTCCATTTGCTGTAGGTATAACCAACTGTGAGGGAGTGAGTTCCATTGACCAGTGAAGAAACACTAATATAGTTGCAAATCAGAATGGTGTGTCGCTTGGAAGGGAATTTGCAGGTGGTGGTACTCCTATGCATTTGTTACTGTTGCAATGCAACTGTTGCTCTTGCACTTCTAAGTGCTAGAGTTCGCATGCTTGGAAGGTGCTGTTGAAAGAGGATTGGTAAGTTGCAATAGTACATCTAGTACATGGTACACACTGCTGTCACTACACTTCATTTAAGATAATGGATGGGATGCCAATCAAATGGGCTATTTTATCCTGGATGGTGTTGAGCTTCTTGAATGACGTTAGTGCCACACTCATCCAGGCAAATGGAGAATACTTGTTACATTCCTGACTTGTATATTGTAGAAGTGATAACCTTTGGCGAGCCAGAATGTGAATTACTACCACAGAATTCCCAGTTTCCAATCTATCCTTGTAGCCAGCACATATATGGCTGGCCTGTGAAGTTTCTGGTCAATGGTAAGTGTCAGGACATTGGTTATGATTTAGTCATGGCAATGCCATTGAATGTCATGGGGAGATGGTTAGATTCTGTAGTACTAGAGATAGTCATTGCCTGGCATATATATGACTTGTTAGTTTTCATTCAATGCCTGAATATTGTCCTGATCTTGTTGCATATGAACCTGTACTGCTTCAGTATCGGAGGAGTAGCAAATGGTGCAATCATTAGTGAACATTCTCACTTCTAACCTTACCCTAGAGGGAAGGTCATTGATAAAGCAGCTGAAGATGGCTGAGTCTAGAAAACTATCCAGGAACTTCGGCAGCTTTTGGGAGTAAAATAATAGTCTTCAACAATCATAGTCATCTTCTTTGTTGCTAGCTTTGATTCCATGAATCCACAATGAATTCAAGTCTTTGTACAGCTGATGTATACACTTTTAAATGTCACATGTCCAACATTTATGATTAATTTTAATTAAAATAATTTTAATAGCGCTTGTGGTCATGTAATACCCTCTTCCATCACATTAGCTGTACTACAAGATCTAATGTTGGGAATATTGCTTCCATTACTACAGTCAATGCCAATTGGGTTACAAAGTCAGACTGAATAGTAATCTTCAACTGCAGTCTGATTAAGATGTCTAGTTTCAAAATACTACTCCAGGGGAACTGCAGAGAAAACCACTTACACTATCAGTGATTTTCCTAAACCATTACAGTTAGGACACACATGCACTTTAAACTCTGTTGAATATTTTACCAACAGATTGAAATCATGCTATATTTACATGTTCAAATTGCCCCTTCATATTGTCCAAATAAATGTACAGAAATAATTTCACCACATTCAGATGTTGACCAAGTAGCAGACTGAAAGTTCACTCATACATCTCTAATTATGGTCATACCCCTGCCCTGTCTATAGCAGCACCAATGTATGAAGTGCTGTGGAACAAGAAAAACATTAAGCTGGATTTCATGGCTTCTATCAGGTGCAATTTTGGTCATGTAAAATACAAGAGATGGCAAGCCTACCATTTTTCAGCATAGTCCCATCCCCATAATATGGTTAGAGGGTGAATTTGGCGACTTCCCTATCCCTTTTAAATAAATAATTGACAGGCAATTTGACCTGTAACCAAACCAATTGACCAATATCTTATACTTGCAAAGATGTGAAATTTGTTTTGGAAGTTCAACCAATGTGAGGAACTTATGTCTGAAAACCTTTTTTGTAAGCACAGGAGGGAGGAGGGACATAGCATTCCCAGGCTGCCCTTTGCATGTTGGGGGACCTCATTCCCAAGATTTTCTTTCCCTTTGTTGATAATCCACCTGCTTTCTCTAACTTTTCTTTGATTCTTGGAAGTTGATTAATGGGCAAGTAAAATTCAACCCATAGGAGCAGGAGAAGGCCATTAAGCTATTTGACCTACTCTACCATGCAAGCCAATAGATGCTGATTTGTGAATTAATTCAGTTTTCCCTCTCTTGCCTTATTCCTTTAGCACCCTTATCAAAAAAAAATCTCGATCCTCAAACTTCCAATTGGTCCGGTATCTGAAGATTTTTGAGTGTATGAGTTTCAGATTCGGACCACACTTTTTTCTGTGCTTCCTGCTTTCCTCCTAATGGTTTGTCTCTAAGTATGTGATTTAACTCTCTTTCTTGATTACCCCACCAAAGGAAATAGTTAACATTTTAAACAGCTCAAATCAGATCATTTTTCAATTGTCTAAACTCAAGGAAATACAAGCAAACATGATGCAAGCAGAACTAAGCTTTCAAAGCAGATAAAACTTCAGTGATACTCACCTGGCGCACAGCCACATTTCCAATAGAACCGGGATATCGCTCTCTAAGCATTGGTCTCAGATCATTATACCACATCATAGAAATGTTGGTCAGTGATGTAACATTCCGGGTATCAGCCGCAGTCAAGTACTTGGGCTTATGGAGCAGCTAATGATTGTAAGGTCAATGAGACAATGAGAACATTAAAAATATATGCTATGCACATGGGTTTTCAGCCTTTAGCAGGCATCTTAGTACTATTAACATCCAAAAATATTTTTAAAATTGCCAAGGTGAAGTTGAATGTGTGAAGATGCAATGGCTTGAAGAGGTGAATTTTTCCTTTTTTTTAAAGAGAGAGACTGGGACAGGTGATGAATAGTCTATGAGCAGACAAATGACTTTTGAAGCCTCGGGTATTTAAAGATGGAACAATAGAAGCAACCTGAATGGTTGTGGTCAAGCTCCCACCCACAGAACCAGGGATTTTTAATTTAGCTTTCAGCCGTTGTTGCTGAGGCCTCAGCAGGGTTGGAAGGCAGTGAATCATGCCTGACTGCTACACTCTGAGTTTTCTCTCAGAATTGTCTTTTGATTTTCTTTCTTCCTGGATTGGATAACTGCATGTGAGACAATCTGTTTTCTGAGTTTGCCTTTGGTCAAACGTGTGTTTATGGGATGTTACTATATTGGAACTATTACTGCACAGTAGTAAAAGAACCTATTATTCTGTTAAGTTTTCTAATAGAGTGATGTTATTCCAAGTTCCCCTTCCTTTTGCTGTATTTTAACTGTAGTGTTTGAATAAATTCTGTTTTGCTTAATATTGAGTAATTTTACCAGACAAATTGCATCTGGGACACAGCACTTTACATTTACCTTTAAAATAAGAAAAAATTAGGGTAAAGGCTACCTTCTTAATATATTTTGAGGGATTCTGGTCTGGTCCATAACAAGTGGAAGCAATTAGTAGAGATAGACCTGAAAATTAGTTTTCTTAAACTAACTGCTAAACAGCAAGATGTATTAAAATGATCATTGTAATAGGCAAGTAGAATACTGCAAAAGATGCACTCTGCATACTACAACAGAAAAATCAACCTGATAATTGTCAAAAAGGCAGTTGTTCAGCTAAAGCAAAGTAATTAAAAATTATCGAGGTTCTGAGGAAGGGTCACCGGACCCAAAACGTTAACTCTGTTTTCTCCTCTACAGATGCTGCCAGACCTGCTGAGCTTTTCCAGCAGCTTTGTTTTTGTTCCTGATTTACAGCATCCGCAGTTCTTTAGGTTTTTAATTAAAAATTATCATTTCCTTTATCATAAAAAACAGCAATATTGGCAAAGGAGTAACAAATCTAATATTTAGCTTTCATTTGTTCTTTTAGTATCATGAAACATGATTCATTTTAACATCCTCTGTAAGAACTGGTTATTTTATAGCATTTTGAAACTTACAGAGATTCTAATACATCCCAATATTGGAGGCTGTGTTGTAATGCAAAGACAGATAAACATTTGGAAAATCACTTAAAGAGATGTTGGTTAACTGTTCCTCTAGATCCAGCAGTGCCATTCATGAGATAATGTAAATTACTGTCAACAACCATATGCAGGCTAAGCATACAACCCTTCATCATTTGTCTAATGTGGATGACAGTTTCAAATTCTTGCCTCGTGAGAAGTTTCCTAAGACTCCAAAAGATTTTGCAAACCAAAAATTGAAGTAGTCATTACAAAATAAAACCAACTGTGTTCAACTGGTGTGGGGAAATTCACCATGTAAACAGTTCTCATTTTAAAGCCCCAGCATTTAGAAAGCCCCCTCAAGCAGACAGGTCCTACAATGTAAGGGTAATTAAATCGATCATAGAATTCCTCATAGCATTACCATTGGTTACAGCAAGCACCAGAAGAACAATGTTGCTGCAAATAGCATCCTGATGAATCCAGTAGGGTAGAATTACCGATGCTGATATCCACCCAAAACATATGATTCACACTGAGGTGCAATAAGACTTTTGCTTCAGATTGTGAGTATCTGCTTACATAGAGTAGAATGTTGTAGAGGCATTAGACAATGGAGACAACCTTTATAGGAAGTCATGATGGACTGATTACCCTTTTTTAACTATTACTAAGCTATTGCTATTACTGCTATATTATTGGGTTTTTTCAAGATTCTAAAAGTACTTTTTTCTTCTTTTTCCTTTCTGTATATTTTATCTTTCTTAATCCAGTCTTCATTTTCCTCTTTTTTGAGTGTACCTGATTTTACAATGTATTCACCCATGATAACTTATGGTTTCTGCTCTATCCTTGTTGTCAATTTCACAGTATTTCAATCTGATTGGCTAAAAGGATAAACAAATCCTTTTCCTATTCATTCAGTTTCCAGATGTCCTGTTTCCCACACTGTGTTGGTATTAACTTCCACTTTTAGTCCCTTAGAAAGGAAAAACTTTAAAAAAATACATATAAAGGTCAAGTTTAACGAATGGCAGCCACTGTTTGATCCCCTGACCCATTAAATTATGGACCAAAATTCTCTCCATTCAAACTAAAACGTGGCAATTATGATGCTTCTCATATGTAGAAGCATTTTTAACATTGTAAAAACTGGATTGAATTAGCAAACATGCCACCCTCACAACCACAAGAATATAGGAAAATATGGAACTTCCTGAGTTTAATAGCATTTTTAGAAATTATGCAGAACTCTGGACAAATGCGAAAAAGCAGAATTGCTTTTGATAAGAACTCATATTGCATCATTAATTTTGTTATTTGAATTCTGACATTTGTTATGAATTTCACCAAAACAGTTCAAACACTATAGTGACTCAAATGTAAATATTTGTAAACGCATAAAATTTGTCTCAGACGTTTTTGTTTCTGCCTTTATTTTACCAGAATTTTAGCAACTTTAGTTTGCCACAGGCAAATAGAAATATGATTAATATTTAACAGCTGTGATTAAAATTAAGCTGTAATAAAATTACATTCACAACCTCATGCTCTCAGTTTTGGATAAGTCAGTGACAACGTAAGACCTTGCCAATAATATTCACAGAATCAGTGCTACAAAAAGGATGAGGAAAATGTAAATCTAGAATTAAGTTTTCTATTGTAGGCCTAGAGAAGCAGCAATACTTATCCAAATCACTGGAGGAAAACGTAGTCCTCCCTTGCAAAGACCTTCTGTTTTCTTCTCCTCACCATTTCCCTTGTTCTGTGCACTTTGATTCCTGGCTGTTGCAGCTTCTTAAAACTGTTCTACTCTCATTTAACCAAGTCAAGTTAACCTCACGGTTCAAGTGGCCTGAACCTTCACATCTGCCCCAGCCCTCCAGTTGCAATCACAGACAAAGTTAAAAACTGAGGTTTTTATATTATGTGTTCAATATCATATGCAATGCTAGGTTGCTGACAGAAAAAAAAACAATACAAATGAATTTTATTCAAAGTTTCTCCCTTTCCTTCCCAAAATATGGTGGGTGATTATCTTAGTGGTGCTATGTCTTGTGACCTTCTAATGACAGGCCCCAGGGATACTGAAGCCCAGCTCAAAACTCCTCTGCTTTTCTCCATTTTAAAATGTAAAACTACAAGCTGTCTCCAGATTTGCAGCACAATAGATCTCAGACCACAGTGTAAAAACCTACCTTTTCTTCTGTCCATGGTACCTTATATTGTTCTTGCCTGTGGGTTTGGCAGAAGATTGTTGTCAAATGAAATAAAAACACAATACGAGAATAAATGAAGCTGTTGCTACTAGCCATCTCTAGCTGTCGTAACAAGCACACACTTTTGTCTCGCTCTCTCTCTCTCTCCTTCCCTCTCACTCGACACAGACTGATGTGGAAATCTTGTGAGTCTAATCCAAGCTCACAGAGCAGTTAAAAGCCTTTCTTTCTTTTACGTCATTCCAGACTTCCTTTGATCGGCAAATGAGCAATAAGTAAGACATGAGCTTCATCAAGATGTACTTTGATCACTGGCTTATCTGACTTGGATGTTTTTTTTAAAACTGTAACCAATCAAAATTGAGCATAAAGAAATCTTGGACATTTCAAGCTGTTTCTGCTTATACTGGGTAAACAATTGTCTCCAGAAAATTGGAAAGATTTTCTTTAAATGACAGTACAACAAAATCAAATAATTAATATTAACATTTAATATTTCTGCATTATATAGATCACAAAAAGTATACAGGAATTATTGCTGTCTCAACAACAATAGCAATAATTTTAAAAACACATATGGCACCTTTCATGTAACAAAATATCCCAAGCTTCTTCATGGGAAAATTATGAACATAGCATGCTATAGAGCTGCATAAGAAATATTACATCAGATGACTAAAGGTTTGATCACAGAGGTACATTTTAAGGAGGAATGCAAGGGAGAGAAGTAGAGATGTGTAAGGAGGGAATTCCAGAGCATCCAGATGAAGTTGTGACCACAATGGTGAAATGATTACAACTAAGTGAAAACCGAAAGAACTGCGGATGCTGTAAATCAGGAACAAAAAACAAAGTAGCTGGAAAAGCTTAGCATGTCTGGCAGCATCTGTGAAGGAAAAAACACAGTTAACATTTCCGGTCCGGTGACCCTTCCTCAGAACTGTGGGCCCAAGCTATGTCTGCCTCTTTGTAGGATACTTGGAACAGCCCCTCTTCCACAGCTACACTGGCACTATCCCCCACCTCTTCCTCCGCCGCCTTGTGATCCCATGAGGAGCTTGAACAGTTCATCCACTTTACTAACACCTTCCACCCCAACAATAAGTTCACCTGGACCATCTCTGATACCTCTCTCTCCTTCCTGGACCTCTCTGTATCCATCTCTGGCATCCACCTGGAAACTGATATCTATTTCAAGCCCACTGACTCCCACAGCTACCTAGACTACACCTCCTCTCACCCACCTTCCTGCAAGGATACGATCCCCCATTCCCAATTCCTCCGCCTCCACCGCATCTGCTCCCAAGATGAGGCATTCCACTCCCAAACATCCCAGAAGTCCTCGTTTTTCAAGGACCGCAATTCCCCCCCATGGTGGTTGAAAACGCCCTCGACCGCATCTCTTGCGTTTCCCACATCTCAGCCCTCACACCCCCTCCCCGCAATAAAAACAAAGACAGAACTCCCCTCGTCCTCACATATCACTCCATTAACCTCCGGATTCAATGCACCATTCTCCACCACTTCCGCCACCTGCAATCTGACCCCATGACAAAGGATATATTTCCCTCCCCACCCTTATCTGCCTTCTGGAGGGACCGCTCTCTCGGCAACTCCCTTGTCTGCTCCACACTCCCCACTAGTGCCACCACCCCCGGCACCTTTCCCTGCAACCGCAGGAGGTGCTACACCTGCCCTTACACGTCCCCCCTCACCTCCATCCCAAGCCCAAAGAAAACCTTCCACATTAAACAGATGTTCACCTGCACATCCGCTAATGTGGTCTATTGTGTCCGCCGTTCCCGATGTGGCCTCCTCTACATCAGGGAGACCAAGTGGAGGCTCGGAGACCGCTTTGTGGAGCACCTATGCTCGGTTCGCGACAAAAGACAACACCTCCTGGCTGCAAACCACTTCAACTCCCCCTCACACTCCCTGGACGACATGTCCATCTTGGGCCTCCTCCAGTGTCACAATGATGCCACCTGAAAACTGGAGGAACAGCACCTCAAATTCCGCCTTGGAACCCTGCAGCCTAATGGTCTCAATGTGGACTTTACGAGCTTCAATATCTCCCCACCCCCACCTCATCCCAAGACCAGCCCTCCCTCTCATTCCCTCCTCCTCGAACTGTCCATCTTCCCTCCCACCTAGCCGCCCCTCCCTCCTCACTGACCAACCCCCATCCCAACTCCCTACCTGCACTCACCTGTACTAGTTTCATCCCCGTCTCCTTGACCTGTCCGTCTTCTCTCCATCTATCTGCTCCACTACCCACCTTCTATCACCACCTGTCCCTCTCTCTATTTATTTCAGAGCCCCCTTCCTCTCCCCCATTTCTGAAGAGGGGTCCGGACCCAAAACGTCAGCTTTCCTGCTCCTCTGATGCTGCCTGGCCTGCTGTGTTCATCCAGCTCCACACCTTGTTATCTCAGACTCCAGCATCGGCAGTTCCTACTATCTCTGAGAAATTTAAAATCTAGGCATTGCTGGATGTGAAGTTGGTCAGTGAGTATAAGGGTAATAGGTGAAGGGGACTTGTGTGATGAGCAGCAGAGTTTTGCATAATACAAGTTTAAAGAGGGCAGAAGGTGAGAGACTAGCCTTACAGACTCACTCATTAGCACTTGCTATCTAGACCTTGAGGTCCCATGTTTAAGACTCATTTGAGGACTTAAGCATGATTTACAAGATCGACACGGCAGATGTCGCAGCATTGATGGCATTACCGCTGAAGAAGAAAATGAGTTTCGGCCGAGACACTCTGGGCACAAGACGAGGGCTACAGTGCGGTACAAGCTGCCAGTATCTGAGGCAGAGTCAGAGGAACCGGATTTTGTGCAAAAATGCCCCAGGAAAAGCTTCAGGAAAAAGAACGGGCCTATGTCCCAGGAATTAGAGGAGGAGGAGTGTAGTGATTGGAACAAGGTCAGCTGGGTAGATCTCATTGAATATGTGTTCCCTGATTGGAGCTGTTAATCTGGTCCAATCAGGGATTCCTGGCCAACGGATATAAACAGGTGTGTCAGGGCTTCTGCTCATTCTAGGAGCCAGCTTTGTGCTAGCTGGGTCAGTGTCTTGTACCATGTATGTGTAAATAAAGGATGACTTGGAGTTGGGATATCTTCGTGGAGGTTTTCAGGACAATGTTCCAGAGATAGAAATACGCAGTCTTAGCGATAGTGTGAATACACAGTGGAAAGCAAACCTTCATGTCAAATTTGACACTAAGGTTTCAAAAAGGCCTGGCTTAGTCTCAGACAGTTGACAGGATAGAGTAATTAGCTTGAAACAAAATTTAGAGCAGGGATAAAAAAAAGGATTAAGTCCAACCATATTTAATTGAACAAAATTTTCTGCTCAGTAGTCTTGTTTAGCAGTTAAACACTGTGATAATTTAGCAACAGTGGATGAATTAAAAGAGATGGTAGGAGCGTAACATTGGGTGTAATCAGGATACATGCGAAAACTAATGCATTTCTTTTAAATATTGTTACAAAGGGGCAGCATATAGATGAGAAATAGAAAGCAGCCAATAGTAGAATTTTGGGTGACATCACAGGTAAGATGGATGAGCAGGAAGAGAATCCAATGCATGTTATATTCAGACTATGATCAGATAAGTAAGAATAGAACAAGGTTGGGATAGTCCCTTTCAGCTAAAAGATAGCAGAGAGACATTCAAGGAGGGTAAATAGTCATTGCTCCTGTTTAAAAATTAACACCCATCCAATTTTCTAATCTCAACTCATCAGGGTACTGACTCCCTCAGAGAGTACTCTTTCATCGTTCAGTAGTATGCCCATTGGCTATTGTTTTCATGGTATCCTTGATGACAAGTGCCAGCAGCCTGTCGAAAAAAGAATCCACACATTCTGTTGTCATCCAATGCCTGTATGTACATTTTTAGTAGAGATCACTATTCCCTAAATAATGTTAATGTTCTCTTCCCAGCATAAAAAGGATCAGAACTATACTCCAATGTTGAAAGTACTATCAGTGAGCCATCAGGATGCCTAATGCCCAGACCCTGAAGTTGTTTGAGTTTGATCCCAGCCATTATTTTGGAATCATACCTAATGGAGCCACCCAGCATAGACGTTGCTGTAGTTTGTGAGGTCAATCAGGGAACCTTGAATGCACGGGTCAATAGGCTGGAAACATCCCTGAGGAAGATCTGAGCAAAAGAAATAATCTAATTCCTCAGTAATGCAGCCAGACCGTTTATTGGGCCTACGTATATTCTAATGAAAGTAGGTACACATCATTCTGTGTATGCCACCTCTTGACTGAGCAGATGCAGGGATTCCCAATTAAATATTTCCTAAAACACAGAAAAAGTCTTAGAAATAACAAGTCCCTGTCATAGTTATGGGAGAACCTTGACAGAATTTCACTGTTAAAACCCACGGTTGATAATATAAAGTTTCAAAGCAGCATTCTTACATTGAAAAGTTTTTTTGGGTGCAGTAATGTTCCAAAGAATGCTGGACTAATATTTAATATTTTGTTAGGCATGTTTTTAAGTCCAGATTTTTTTGTTAGAAATTTTAAACATACATGGCAGAGACAAAGAGTTGAATTAGTGCATCAAATAGCAAAATTGCAAAGCACCAGATTTGATACCATTTTTGATAAACTTGTTTCTTTTCATCCATGTTGCCCCATCTTAGGGTATTTCATGTATTATGAAAATAAAGTAGATCCCTTTCAAGATTAAACTCTTCCAGGACTGCTGTCATTGTGCAGCATTACAATGACACTTTGTTGTTAAATTTCAAAATAGTGTGAAGTTTTAAACGCAAACTTGTAAAGGAAAGATTAATAGTTTATTTTGTATTTATTTGCCTGTGCACAGTGTAATGATATGAAATGCATTATCAACTCATTTACATGCAATGTTTCCATGACTAAATTTTTTAACTAAATTCATTGTTGGAATGTGACAAGGCCAAATTTAATGCTCATCCCTAGATCCCCAGAGAAGTGGGTAATTAGCCTTCTTCTTGAACATTTAGATAAATAATTGAGTAGCTGTCTAGTCCACTTCAGAGGAAAGTTGAGAATCAACCATGTTGGTGTGTAACCGGATTTTTAGAGACCACTCTGAGCAAGGCTAGCAGGTTTCCTTCCCTGAAGCCCATGTAGAAATCACTTGAAATTTTATTAGAATCCAACAGCTTCATAGTTAATTTACTGTATGACCTATTTATCTTTAGATTAAAAAAGCATGAATAATTCTCAGACTTCCATGATGG